CTCTCTCTCTCTCTCTCTCTCTCTCTCTCTCTCTCTATATATATATATATATATATATATATATATTTATCCATCTATTATTTATCCATCTATTTATCCATCTATCCATCTATCGCGCGTTCGTTTGTTCGCTCGGTCGCTCGGCTTCTCGGCAGATGCAGCGAGCGAGAGGGCAGTTGTCGTCGTCGTCGTCGTCGTCGTCGTCGATGCGACCGCAGCCGGCTGACACGCGGCCCCCGCCTCTTACCTATCCTTCCGCGCTTTTGCAGGAGGCCGTAATTTCGCCGGCCGAGTGTCCGCGAGCTCCGACCGTCCGCAGGATACGCGAGGCGCAGTGCGGGGGATGAGCCGGCCGGTTTAGCGGTCGTAGCCGGCCCCAATGCTTGGCCGCTTGTCATTCGGCCCGGTGTGCCGTTCTTGAAATAGTATGACGCCGCGATCGCTGCGTGCCTCCGTAAGCATCGTAATCCTCGTATACTCCGCCCTGGTGTTTAACATCAAAGTTAGTTAGACGCCAGAAGCGGATGGGTGCCAGTGTGTTATACCTGTTTTCGAGTTGCGACTGCTAAATATTCCGCAAGAAGTGGACCCCACAACATTGTCCGCAATTAATTTATCGGGACGTCCCAGACTTTTTCTCTTTTCACTTTATTTCCAATTAACGACGGTGTCTCCGTGATTGTGAAAGGTATGCGCGTGGAAGGTTATAGGCATGCGTTGCCAGATTGAAAATCGCATCCGCGCAAATGTAGTGGCCTATTGGTGAAAAAGCTTCTGATAAAATGGATTGAAGAGTCGGGGGAAAGGAGTAGTGAGATGAGCCAACGTCCATTGTGCAATGAAAAATTCAATGTTTGAATTCTCGGTAGAAGAGCGGACGGAGCTTATACTTATTGTAATTCTATATTTAGTTGTACCGGCAATTATGATTGTTGCGCAATACTGCAAACGCGCCATAGTTGTTGTTTTCTTCTCCTTCTTCTCCTTCACCTTCCTCTTCATCTTCTTCTTCTCCTACTACTTCTTCTATTTTTTCAGAACGTGACTATCCAGTGGTTTTACAGGTATTTAATTTAAATGTAATACGCATGCTATTGCTATTATCTCTGGGATTTTTAAATATTCACAAGGATGGAGATATAATGGGTATGCAATCGGTAATGTGCTATTTGATCGACAGGAGCGTATGATCTTTGCTTTGATCGTTATTGTAAAGGGACGCGCGGGATGGGATGGTCGAGGCGTAATATTTATCTTGTTGGCGAGTTAGCCAACGACAACTTGCGACAGAATTTCATCGTGCTATTATCTATTCCCACTTGACTACGTAATGCTTGTTATGATGTGTGGGGGGGGGGGGATATAGGAGGGTTAGTAGATGATGGGGTGGAAAAGTTCGGCTGGGAAAAACTATCGTCGGCCGCAACGTACGTGCGTGCACAAGTACGCGCATTAATGTGGTTAGCGATAGGTGGACCGCAAAAATAGGACAAAACTTGAGCGCCCAAGCGTCCTATAATTAGATGGAAAATGCAAAATGAGAGAAAAAGATATTGGCGCGTATGCGAGCGCGAGTGAATGTGATGCCACTCTAATGACTAATGACACGGACGTGTATACCGGCAAGATAGCATTTACACCTCGGAAGTCATTAGCACTCGGATTTCGCTTCCTTAGATTTCCGGTCAGAAGTCCTTTTTTCCTTGTCGTTTTTTCTTTCTTTCCATTTTTTTTTTTTTTTTTTTTTTTTTTCCTTTTTTTTTTTTTTTTTTTTTTTGTCACCGACTTTGAAAATAAAAACAGGGGGTTGGCCACACGACACGTTAGTAGTAGCTGTTTGGTTGGTGCCATATTGAGAAGCGTACACGTGAATTAAAAATGAGGGCGAAATACAGAGAGAGGAGCCGACTTAGCGAGCGATACGGGGACAGGAAGAGGTAACAAAAGCGGAAGGAAGTAACGAGAAAGTAGGACTCGTACGACTTGTTTCCCAGCCGAGACTCGTATACACGTATACAATAATAGGCACCGAAAGAGCGAGCGAGCGAGTAACTGAGATATAGAGAGAGAGATAGATAGATAGATGTGTGGTATGATAGAGTGTGTGAGTATGCGCGCATGTTTTGTGTGTGCGTGTGTGCATGTGACAGAGTAAAGTTAACATCCATCCGACGAAAAAGCGTTCTTAGCTTCTATCTCACTCTCTCTCTCTCTCTCTCTCTCTCTCTCTCTCTCTCACTGGTGTACTCACGCTTTACGACCTCGCAGTATATAGTTGATTTGCTATTGGTTGCTCTCACGCTTCCCTGTTCCATGGTTTGCTTGTGCGCTCGCTCGCTCGTTCCCCTTTTCTTTCTTTTTAACCCCGGCGCAGAGCGCACGATCGGCCCGTATGTTCTTCTTTCCTTCTTCGTCTCCTCTCTCTCTCTCTCTCTCTCTCTCTCTCTCTTCCTAGATTATTTCATATAGGGTGGTTGAAAAACAAACTAGTCCCTTTTCCATATGAATCGATTCTCCGATTTTAACTACGACGTCTCGTCATGCGAATACATCTATAAATTGGAATATGCCTAACGAGACATAATTATTATGAGAACAAGTATAGTGTAGGACGTGATGGAGCAACTATTTCTGAAATTACTATTCATAAAGGCTGTACAATTTTATTGATTTTATCCTGACACGTATTATTCGATTATGCATTTCAGTACTTTCTCACATTTCACATTTACGAACCATTATATACTTTTATTTATTTTCCAATTCTAGGTAGGTTTAAGGATGGATTAAGCTACGATGCTTTGATTGATCGAGGGGGGATAGGTTTGAGTGGACAGGTGAAGATAATTTAGACGTTCGATGAAGGTGAATTTGCTTTGGCCATTATAATCGGGTCTGGTTACGTTCAACTAGCGGAATTTTACATTATTCGTTGAAATTTAATTGCCGTCGTACTTTTTTCATAATTTGTTCAATTTCAGTTTGTTTTCTCTCTCGTCTCTTATCCTGCTTCTACTACTTTTCTATTTATGAATCTCCAAGGCAATTTTAAAAATTAGCAAGCTCTTCGCATTAATAGTTAATATTGCGTTGTTACTGGCTTCTTTACGAGCATCTTACCATTTTTTCTTATTTCGCCTCGAGTGCTTATTGATTGGTATAACAGAAGACTTCTTTAATCCTATCGGAGGACATGAATTATAATCGGATTTTGTATTTATGAAAATTTTCAACCACCTCGTAATCATTGGACAAACGAGATAGCGATAGTCCACTTATTTGATACAATTCCGATCGAATACGCTTAAAGCAGAGTGGTATATTAGAATGGTTAGTACCAACAGAAAGGATTGAAATTTAATTTTGACGCATATCGTAGCAGTTGCCAAATCGGCAAAGGTAGGCTAGATTAAACGAACAAGAACGAAACTCTCGTTTGCTAAGAGTGCCAAATGATATTGCAACAATAGTGTTTGTATGTAATCCGTGACTTGTGCGTGTGCGTGTGTTTCTATCTCTCTATCTATCTCTATCTATCTCTCTATCTCTCTCGACATTGATTTGATATTGAAGGGCCGGTATGTGTAAAAGCTTGATTAATACTTTTATAACGATGTCGGATGTGTGCAACAACGTAATGCACTGTGCGGAATTTGTAGAGCGGCGCCACTAGGCATTCGACACACGTCACTTACC